TGAATTCAAAATGTGTTCAGATTTTTTCAGAATTCAAATTTGATAACAATTTTTCCGTTCGCGTTCCGTTCTGAAGGAACGCTTTAGGAACGCGAACGCAGTACCCCTGGTTTAGATCGTAGCTTCTCAAAAGAGATACTTTTTAATTTAATAGCATAGCTATTTAAACAAATGTGCCCAACTATTAAACTATTTAAGTAGCTGACTATTTTTCTATAGAATTTTTTATTTGTTCTTTTGTTGGATGACTGACTGTGAAAAATCTGTAAATTTCTTTTTTTCACGATTATTTATCAAATACTTTAAATTATTATAATATTTTTTTAATAATCGTAATTTCATTAGTTCATAAAATGATATACATTAAAAAATCAAGTTTTGTTACGAATGAATGAGATATTTGGATAATAATAAATATTTCTTGTTTTTTTTTGCAACCCGTCTGCTCGTAGATGTTTGCAGAATAATAAAATTTTTGGCTTTTTTTGAGCCACCTGCTCGGAAGCAATTAGTAAGCTAAGTGCAATATACCAGATGTATTTAAATAAATATAAGATATTTACCGATGAAAATTGTTTGAATAACATGAAAAGAATAAAAAACTATTGAATCGTATTTGAAAAGGAATTCTTATTTAATCTAGTAATGGTACCAGAAAGAATAAAACAAATATAAAAGGATTCAATTAATTTGACTGATATCGATAATTTGTATTGGATTATCAATAATTATTATATTATAAAATAAATAATTAAATATAAATTTTTTATTGAATAAACATTTATTAATCATAGTTTTAAATAAAAGATTATTTAAACACTGCTTGATGATGTTCATAGTTTAGAAACCAAATATTCGTCAATATTTTTAATAAGATACAATGAATGAAATATGGTATATCATTACTATGATAATTATTGAACATGAGAGTGTATATAGCTTTTATGGCAAAGTTTTCCACATAGGTTTTTTAAAATCCAATTAATTTAAAATTATTCTCCAATTAGAATTTTTGTTGTAAGAAAGCAAGTTGATAAATTTTTAACTTTGAAAACATGTATTTTGTAATACATGAATGCTGATAAGTATTGTTGTCTGTTATTACAGCATTAGTCATATTACTTCATATAATATTTTTAATATTTCAAATAAAAATATAAACATTTTAAATTTCAACAGTATCTAATTTTTTAATGATAAAGTGTTTCGGAGTGTGTTAAAAAAAACGGTCCCAAAATTCTACAAAATGTTCAAGAATTTTATTTTAGACTAAATGAAATAGACTTTGGACATCAATTCGTGTTATATGATTATTTTACAGAATTTATTAAATAAGAAACAATATTATAAAAAAAAGTATCTTATTCTTGTATTTAAATCAGAGTACTTATTATTATTTCATAAAGATAACTTCATCGTTTAAGTACTCAGATGAAATCAACCTAAAATTAATAATGTGTTCATAGAATCATGAACAAATATTCATGATGTGTTTCTGTAACTGAAATTGCTACTATGATGTATACCATTATCTTTAAAGTATATATTTATAAGATTCATATATCGTTAATAAAAATAATCTCATTACAAGAAACGTTACCACCTATATTTAAAGAATTTCATTTTTTCTATGTTACAATAGTATTTTTTTTGAGACTCAATAAGTGTCAGCAACATATTTTTATGATGTACTAATAGTGCATGACAAAAGAGTAGTATCAAAAATAAATAAATATAAAGTATTAAAAGTATAGAAATATGAAGAATTAGTAAATATTTTACTGAAACTTTTTTTGCATTAATAAAATTTTAAATATATTATTTTTTATGATATAGGTGTCTTGTATAACTAAGTGTTACTTTAGTTTTAAAAGAAAAAAACATTGAAAGATAATTAAAAACAAATTTTTTTTCTTATTTGAATGTTGGCGGTTAATCTAATGAAATAAAAAAAATCAAAGCAACATCTTATACATCAGTGTAACATTAGATTACAAATCATTTGATTTATTATAAAATCGATGTCTCGACCTAAGAAAACATCGAATCATTTTAGTGAGTCCCAATTAATAACTGATAATTATATATATATATTAAATGTCCATCTTAGTCTTATCATCTGATTTGGAAACGTCAAATGATGGAAATGAAAAAAAAATAATGCGACAAAGTTCGACAAGTAATAATTTTCTTACATAGTCTGTTTATTGTTTCTTTTTTTTTTTAAAAAAACAAATAAAGATCGAAAAGAAACACGTTCTACAAAACAAATTCGTAAACGTGCACGTTCGTTTATTGATGATGAAGCACAAGAAGATGATCAATTACATACACAATCAGGAAGTTCATCAGAATCAATTCGATCTTATATTGAAGATAATGTTATATGTAATTCGGTTAACGTACATGATAAAAATTCTGAAAATATTACTAAAATGCAAATTCGTAATGAAAATGATACTAGTATCCGAGATACACATCAAAAAAATGAAGAAACATCAATTATTATAATCGAAAATTATACTTTAGTTCAACAAAACAAACAAACTGGTAAATTAGTTATTGAATTTAATATCTTATAATTCATAATATAATTAACTAAAACAAATATTTTTTCTGATTAAGAATTGACATCAACAACGTGTGATGCAATATCTAATACACCAAACAACTCACTTGCATCACCTGTACAAAGTAAACTTTGTTTTTAAATTTCTTATATATATATATATATATATATATATATATATTCTTTTTGTATTTATTTGTCTTTTAAACAGCATCTATTGATCGATATTTTCCAACAGTAGGAAATTCATTTGAATCAATCAAAAATCTTAATGAATATTCGTCAAAGTAAAAGAATATTTAAAGAATAAATTTTAATAAATCTTTTATACCTTTCTTATACGTGGTAAAGTTATCTAGATTAGTTCAATTCGTTATTTTGGAACGAATAACAAAGTATTCGATAGAATTATTTGTGATTTGACCAGCGAGATTAAAGTAGTTGGATTTAATGAACAAGTTGACGGACTATATAATCACATGGTTTTAGATCAAGTAACTAATTTAAGAAAAATATTATTTTATAAAATTATTATATATAGAAAATAACTATTGAAAATGGACAAGTACAAAAAACCGATGAAAATTTTCGAACACCCTATTCAATGTTCGAAATTCGATTAACAAATATACAAATATTCAATCATATATATCTTCTGGTTTTGCTCCAAATATAAAAATTACAAAAACAGATATTCGTCATATATCTGAATTATTGAATGGGATGAACGTTGGTAAGCTATCGAAAATTCGATTGTTTTTATACATCAATATATTTGATATGTATTATTCTGTTTGAATATTCTCATGAAATACTTATAATATAGAAGTAGTAAAAATTAGTGTGCTTTCCAAAAAAAGTACTTAATAAGTTGATTTGGCTTAAAATAATATTGTTTTATAGAAAATTTAACAGAATATAATTCGAAAAATTTCCCTTAGAGGTGGTGGCTTAGCATTAGAACTGAAAATAATGCATTGATTTATTTCTTAGCGAAAGTTAATTAATGTTGAATTTTTGGAATTAATAGTAGCATTAGTGGTACTAATGCCAATTTAGTGCATAAATCGATATTAAATGTTTCCTTTACAAAAATAAACCAGTGCATTATTTTTACATTAATGCTAAGCCACCACCCCTAATTTCCCTATATTTAAAAATGTAACTATTTATAATAAAAAAAGTGTTCCATAATTAAAATTCTCATACTGAATATTTTTCTATTATAGAAAAAAAAAATTTCTTTAGATATTTTGTTGCATTGATATACAAATCTTTTAATTTACTATAGATGTAGAAGGTCAAATAATATTTGATAATAACCTATCAACAACAATTGGAGGAAATAATGGGATGCAACTACGACGAAGATCGTTAAAAATAAAAGATCAAACAGGCACCGTAAATATTACAGTAAGGAACAATAAAGTAACTAAAAACTTTGTAATCATGCACATATATAGTTCCTTCGATATTTTATAAATTAGAACGACGAATTTCCAGAAAATGTGATGAATAAAAATATAAACATTCGAAATGGTAGAATAAATCATTTTAATGGTGGGAAATTGTAGTATTATTAGGCTAATATATTATAGAAATGTTTTCTATATAGATTTTGTATCTATTAATATATCAGAACGTACAATCATTCAATTAAATTAAATCATATAAACATTTAAAATATCAATAGTTTTTTTTTATTATTTTCATTGGTTTCTTCTTCTTTGTTTTTCCCTGAATATCTGCAAAAAAATACTCATATGAGTACAATCACGATAAAATAAATTAGCATTAAAAGTAAAAAAACAATTATAAATTGTAGATTATACTTTATCACAAGTTCTAATAAACTATATTAATTTATACTTCAACTCATTATTTGCATATATTAATAATAATAAAATTTAACGAGCTGAAAAAAAATATTTCGTCGTAACAAATTTAAATCATTGTTATTAAATTAGATTAATAAGATAATTGCATATTAATCCAAAGATGTATTACTAAAAGAAAAATGTCAAATATTAAATGTCGTTCTATTATGTTTGAATGTACAAAGCTAACACCAAACAACGATATTTTTCCTCATCCAATTAAATATGTATTAGAAAATATTGTAAACTTAAAAAAGGTTCCTCTTATGCATCTGATAACCGTTGTGTTATCAGGAATTTCACACTGGTGTTCTAAAACTCTTTTAAATATTGATGTAGATTGGGATATTCCATTGATTTTTTTTGGAGTTATTGTTGGATATCCAGGTATTCAAATTAAATGAAAAAAAAATAAATTCAATTAATATCATGCTTAAATTTTAATAGGATCAAACAAATCAACAGCAATCACACTGACTGAGCGAGCAACGAGAGATGTCGAACAGTATCTGCAAATAAAAATTGAAAATAGTCATGTGAATGGTTCAGCAACAATAGAAAGTTTACTACATGAACTAGAAAAAAAAACATCTATCATTCAGTATGACCTATATTTGTATTTATTTCTTTTTTTTCTTTTGCACGAGCTTTAAGTTTTAATTATTTTTAATATTCATGCTTGATTTTGAATCGAGAAAATTTAGGACAAGAAAAGCCAATAAATTTTTGTCTTCGCATTCTGTAGAGCTTTTGATGAATTCAATACTTTTCAATCATCTTTCAGTCTTTATCGGGCAGATAAAGCAGCTTATTATCGTTCTATTTTAAATACATTGTGGAACGGTCCAAAATATTATTTCCGACAATTAGTTAAAGGCGATATCAAATGTGAAAATCCTTGGTTATCTGTTGTAGCAGCTGCACATCCGGGTGCAATAATAAATATTTTAAAAGAAGAAAGTGATCAGTTAGGTGATGATGGATTATTTGCTAGGTAAAACTAACTTTTTATAATCTCCTTGGTTTTCTCCAATATTATATTTTGATAGATTCGTATTCTCTGCACGTATTTCGCCAGAAGATATTCATAAACGTAGCAAACGTGAAATCGACACAACAACTGGTGAATATACTATAGAATCATCTAATTATCCAAGTCTTGCTCATATTATGTATTTTATACATTTGATGCATCATAATAAATGTTTTACATTAAAAATTTCTCAAGAAGCAAATGAAATTCTTATGCGTGCTCATAATGAATATAATCATATGGTAGTTGGATTTCAAGATTCTCAAGATGAACTTTGTACTTTATTCTCAAAGTCGCGTGATCATTTATATCGTATTCGTGGTTTACTACATTTACTTCACCAAGCGTGTATTTATATTTTAAAAGTAAGTTATGTAAAATTAATTTTTTCTTTCATATTTCATATTTGTAATAGGCTGAACCACGATTAGAATATTTAGTGTTTGATGATGCTTCAGCAGAATCGATCGAGAAAATGGCTATGTTAGCACAACAAAATATCGATGAATATCTTACTATTTCATCTGATATAGCTGAAACAACTCTTGAACTGATGAATTTCTATGTTAATACAAAAAAACTTTTGTATGGATTTCCTTTGATAACTGTTCCGCCATTATTAGAAATAAATGTTGGTCCATCTATATCTCAACAAAATAATACAACACAAGAAAATATTCAAATAAATAATTCTTCTATTAATGTCAACAACAATGACAATGCAAGTGTGTTTAGTAACCATACTCGTTTTTCAGATTTATCATCGTCAATTTGTCCGTTTAATGGCTCAGTAGTTGATGCAAGTATTAAAAAAATATTATTCTATCCGTATCGAATAATATCAAGCTTTCGACTCGCTCAAATTTTACGAGTAAGACATCATTACTTATTAGTTTTAAGATGATCTCGTTATCTATCATTTTTATTATTTCTATTTAGTGTCCTGGAGTCAATAGTGAGAATATCAAGAAAATTTTTATATTCATGGCCAATTGTAAAATGGGTACTTTTTCAATTAAAAAACAAAAGAAGCGTGGTAAACCTCGTGTACTGTTTACTAAAGATGATATTCCTGAAGATAAAGAATCAGAAAAATATAAAATAATGATCGACTGTATAAATGAATTTAATATTACATCAGAAGAATATGGAAAATATATGAAAAGTACATCGGAAACTTCAACTGTATCCAACAATAATATCACTACAGTCAGCAATCAAGAATGAATCAAATGAATTCTCCCTTAAAATTTTTGTTTTATCTATCATATTAATAATTAATAACAATATAAATTTCTTAAATATGACTAACGATATATTAATAATATGTTGCATAAAAAAATGCAATAAAGTACTAATATATAGAAGTTACCTATATAAAAATAAAGTAGAAATTATAAAAAGAATCTCGTATTCATTCGTTTTAACAAGTAGTTTTGTATATAATAAATTCTGATAAATAATGAATCATAACAATAATTAAAAGACCAATCAATAAAATTGTTTTAAAAGAAGGTGATATCTATTGATAGAGTTCTCTTGGTGATGAATATCATCATGTCTTGTTTTATTAAATAATACTTTTCACAAAGAAATTTTTTTCTTTTTTTATTTATACAGTTTCAATAATAATGTATTCGATTATTAAGACCCAGAAAAAATCGAAAGCAATTTACTTTCGAGAAAATTTTTATCGATTACAAAAAACAAACAAAAATGGTACTGATCGATGGGTTTGTACTAAACGACAATGCTCCTCTTCATTAACTATAAAAAACAATACAATTCAAGCAATAAGAGGTGCACACAATTATGATAATCTTAAACGATCACCATCTATTATCAAAACAGTTACCAATATTCGTGAAAAAGTTTGTACCAACGTATCGAAACCTATCACACAAATATACAATGAAACTGTGTCTGATTATGTAAATTTATTTATTAAATAAATTTGTTTTCTTTATTACAATATATATTTAGAGAAAAATTCATGGTACTGCTGAATCAATTCCAATATTCGATATTCTTAGATCGACTTTATACCGTGATAGAGCGGTAGTTTTTCCAAAGCTTCCAACAGCAATCAGTGAACTAATTTTACCAGAAAATTTTACTAAAAATCTTTACAATGAAAAAATGTTATTTTGTGATAAAATAAAACAATCACGTCTTCTTGCATTTTCATCATTAAGTGCCTTAAAACAACTTGGTATGATGTTTTTTTCTAATATCAACACACTAAACTATTCTATTTAATTATTATCAAGTAAATTAAGTTTATATATAGATTTCAATAAGACTGAATTTATTACAAAACTAAATTGCAAGATGTATGTTTTCCATTATCAGATATGTCTTTACGATGGATAATAGGGATTAGATAATATTAGTAAATAGCAGAGTTATTTGAATCAAAATTAAATGTTTTATCAAATTTAATCTAAATCTACAATAAATTTTTTATTGGCGATATTCATAATAAGATAGTTTCTTTTATTTTTTGAATCAATGATTTATAAATATGTGACTAGGAAAACATATGTATTTAGAAAGACATAACTTCTTTTTTTTAATTCAATAAAAACGTTTCATTATTTGAATGAAACTCATGAGAAACTAGTCATACTTTGTCAAAGTTTGCTAATTGAAATAGAGATTACTAGCTGTGTTGTTTAATCTGAAATTTTCATAATACGATACCTTTATATATTTTTATTTGTATATACAAACTTATTTATAATCTTCATAGCGCAATCTAGTATATGGAATGCTGATGGAACTTTTAGAACAGCTCCTAAATTCTTCTCACAATCATATACAATACATGCACATGACGAATATTCAATGAAACTAATCGTATTTTCAGCATTGCCTGATAAATATGAAGAAACATATTCAACAGTTCTAGAGGCATTAGTCTTATATGCACAAACAAATAATGTCATTTTAAATCCAACATCTATTTTAATTGATTTTGAACAAGCAGCATTTAATGCTTTTAAAAAGATATTTCCACATGCAAATATCTTATTTTGTCATTTTCACTTTGCGAAAAATATAATGAAACGTTTAAAAAAATTACGTAAGTTGTTTTGAAATACGTTTAAATTGATATAAATCCATAAACCTACTTATCCATGAAGATCATACACCTATATATATATATAAGATAAACATAATTCAATTTATAACTGTTTAATGGAAATAGAATTTACTTCAAATTTTTCTTGGATTCTTTTTTTTTCCTTCTATCAAAATAGGTCCGTTTTATATGTATATATGCTTGATTAAATTTTACGCTGCAAGGAAATAAAATTTTAATTACCCTTTACTTTGATCACATTCAAAACTTATACATAAATACTTTTCCTCATTCTTTTTTCAAATCTATTTCTAATCTATGAATTAACTTAAATTAAAAGACTAAAAAGCATATACTGAAGAAAATGATACATAAATATGCAGTAAAATATATGAATTTCTTTATTGGAACAAAAACTGTATAAGTTACTTGATCTTGCTAGACTTCATTTGACCACATTTGTATAAATTAAGTAATAAAATAAATTAACAAATTTATTTTTAAAAATATTCAGTTCAATAAAAATCCCAGTCGATGATTAGAATTAAATATCTCCATCTTTCTCCTCAATTTTCATAAGATAAAATCTAATTTTGATTAATGATTGAACAGAATATTGAACTATAGAATTACCTTTACAAAAAAAGACTAGCAGTCACATTGAAATCAATTGATGATTTTGCGTATTTTTTATTTCTATTTCTTAGCCTTATGTATGTATTTATTTTATTATTGTTGTAATATAAGCACTTTATAATATAGGTTTAAATGATGAATTAAAAAAAAATAATACCAAACGTGAAATTGCTAATATTTTATCTTTACCACTGCTACCACCAAATAAAATAACTGCTGCATTTTTTGATACGGTTGAAGTATTAGAATCTATTAATCGAAATTTTAAACCATTTCTCAATTATGTCGAAAAAACTTATATTATTAATGCTAAGTTTATTTCATTAAATTGGAACCGTTACCCGACCTTATCAAACAGACCAAGAACCAATAATCAGTAAATCTATAAAATATAGGAATAAATTGTAAAATCGTTATTTATTTTCTTAATGATTTTATCTTAATGTAGTATCGAAGGCTATCATAGATATTTAAATAGGTATTTATATTAATATTGCTCTTTGCAGAAATCTTTTTTTTGCTACTACTTACAAAGTATTACATACTAAATAAAAAATAAATGACTTGATATATTTAGTCGTATAATAACAAAACCAAATATATGGAAATGGATTATGCATATTCAAAAGGATGATGAACAAACGATCATCAGATCCGAACAAGAAAAAAACAGAAAAGATCAACCAGATCAAGAAAAAAGAAAAACATCGTTCATGATCTTCGTTTAACTGATTTAAAAACTTCATATGAACAAAATTTAATAGATATAATACAATATCAAAAAAAAATTAGAAGCATTTCATATTCATATATAGATAGTTTAGAAAAAAATATAGATAATTCGGATAGTGATTAAAAATTTGAAATACTATCTATGTACATTTTTATATTAAAATAACACATGTGTATCCAATAAATAATTGATGAATAAATTAAAACAAAATTTTTCGTAATTCTATGCTAAATCTATTAAAGTTTTATTTCATGCGAATGCATGAAAAATAAAATTTTAAAATTTTAATAAATATCAAATAAATTGAAGCGCGATTAATATAATTTCGTATATGTAAATAAATAACAGTTAAATCAATATGACGATTATAATAAAAATAATACAACAACTTTTTCCAAATAAAATTATTACTCACCATATAGTTGATTTAATCAATCATTTACTACAAAAAAAAATTACAACAGATTATATTTTTCTTAGCATAGAAAATAACAATAAAAATAGACAATTTTTCTATTGTACTATAAATGAATTAATCACACTCTACAAACATTGTCCACCACTTGAACGCACTCTTTATGAAACAATCTTTCCAACAAGTCTAATTCAAACATACATTGATTTTGAATATTATATTGATAATAATCTTGGCATAAAAAATCAATCTATTGGAGCTACTTCCTGTCTCAGAATCTTATATCATGTGCTAAATTTTTTTGATACGACACACGTTAAAGCTGAAAATGATATCGATAATTGTTTACAACAATTTCTCATTTTGCAAGCGTAAGTTACATAATACTTATTTAGTTTCTGTAAACATATTTTTCGAGTTGATGTGCTTAAAAACAAAGAAATTATAATAAAAGCCAATATAGGTGAAGCCAGTTAAATCAAATGTAGATGTAGATATAAAGACAATGTTTTTTTTTTAATTTACAATTAAATAATTTTATGCAGATTTTACATACTGATAGTTGGATATTTATGGAAACGTAACAACATATTTGTTTTTTCTTTGTTTCATATTAGATCAACCTCGAAAAAAATTTCATACCATTTTATTCATGCAAATACTGCGATTTTATTTGAGAATAATATTACATTAGGTATTTTTATTAAAACCGTAATACATTTTATTTTATCATCAGTTATTGAACATAAATGTTCATTTTTTAATGTTGATTTCAACTTACAAAAAGGTACTATACCTGATTTAATTATATTTTTGTCACCATATATTGATATATTACGTGTAAACTGTACAAAATGCTACTTATCTAATTCCTACATTCAAATAGCAGAAATTGCACATTTAATAGTACGAAATAGACAAAATAAATGGAGTTTAGCAATTGATTTAAATGTTTATTCAAAAAATCAACAATTTCGTTTATTCGACTGCGTCAAACGAGGAGAAAATAACTTTTTGCTACAGTCTATTAATTTCCCATTTTATAATCATTCCACTATCCCATATGATGAAGTATTGGAACAATCACTCATCACCTATAATATTAATATTTCCAATTTACACATACTTTATCTTGACAACAATCAATTTAAAATTAAACCAGTTAATTCGAATAACTTGTATCCAGAAGGTACAATAAATCTTAAAATATTGAATACTATCAATAAATATTATAATTCTTTATTTATACTTAAATCAAACTTGATATCTTTTCCGAAATCAAATGACTTGCGATTTTTACAGGGTAAAAAAATTAATTATATCCATGTATCCCAAGAGGAAATACAAACATTTACATCATTTGTTCAAAAATTAATAACTTCCGATACAAATCATCAAGGCTATATTCAATCGTGTGTCCGTGGTGATTACAATAATCAACTACTATTTTTCAATATCGGAGGAAACTATCGATTCTGTCCAAAAAAAGGTTCACATCATCAACATAATAGCGTAGCAATTTTAGTCGATACAAAAAAACTTACGTATACCATTCGTTGTAAGGATTCTCAATGCAATAACATATCTTTAATATGGAATACTATTGAATAACCTAATCCGCTGATATCCAATATTCATTCAAACGATTAAAATCAATAGCATACAATAAAAAAAAGCACTAAAACTATATAAGCATCTAATCTTATCAATATATTCCTAATAAATAATTGAATCCTAATTTAACACTTTTTTACATCAAATATTTGATGCTAAAACAATTAATTTTTTCCAATTTTTTTTTAAACATCTCTACTCAAATAATTCGGTAACCTAAAATACATATTTTAAATTTATTCATATAATTATAAATATTTATCTGTTGATAATTCAAATATATTTAACACCACTTCATAACAACTAGGTACTCATCAAACTGTGTATAGTAAATAAATAGCTATCAAACTTTTAAATAGTGCAGACGAAACATTAAATAGTGCTGTACACTTTTAAATAGCGCTCAAAATTAATTAGTTGGTACACAAAGTAAACTCTTAGTAATTAAATAGCCGACAGTTCATTAAATAGCTAAGAAGATAAAATAAATAGTGCTGTATATCATTAAATAGTGCTGGCTATTAAATAGTTGATCAAAAAAAAATCAAATCAATAAATAGCTGAGGAGTCATTAAATAGCTGAGGAGTCATTAAATAGCTGAGGAGTCATTAAATAGCTGAAAAGATATATTTAATAGTGCTGTATATCATTAAATAGTGTTGGAGATTAAATAGCTAACCAAGAAAAAAAATCAAATCAATAAATAACTAACGAATCATTAGCTAGCTGAGATGATATATTAAATAGTGCTGTATTCTATTAAATAGTGCTAAAGATTAAATAGCTCACTAAGAAAAAAGTCATCGTAAATAAATAGCTGACGAGTCATTAAATAGCTGAAAATATATATTGAATAGTGCTGTAATCTATTAAATAGTGCTGCCGATTAAATAGTTGACCAAGAAAAAAATCAAACAAATAAATAGCTAAGGAGTCATTAAATAGCTAAGATGATATATTAAATAGTGCTGTAATCCATTAAATAGTGCTGGCCATTGAATAGCTGAGAAGTAAAAGTCTAATACATAGTTTTCTTTACTATTTTTTAGAGATAGTCTATATAACAAAAATTGTATCTCTTTTGAGAATGAACCACTACAATGCAAACAAATACAGAATACATACAAAAAATGTTAGGTAAACTATTATCTTAATAGATGTCTATGTTTTAATAATGTTTTACTTAGAGCGACGAAGAAAAAACAAGAAATCCGTTACTATTCATATTCAAACTAATGATTTATAAGCAAATATCTTAAAAACATTATCCACTGCTAAAAACAACAATGAACAAAGTTTATCTTATTCAAACGAAGATTTCATTCATATTATCTACTTCCATGCTTTCTCTCTTCACTATTTGATTTTATATACTAGCATTAATTTATGTTTCCATTATACTCCATAAAATAGGATTTTTCTACATTATGTTTATTTATTTCATTTTTATATTCTAACACCATATTATATCACTCTAACTATTATTCTTATTATTTTTTTTGTAGATATGTAATTTATATGTAATTTGGTTTTGATCTTTCATTAGATCATTACTATTACAATTTAACAAAGCCATCTGATGATCGTCGTTGCTGACGTGAAATCTAGACCATGGTAGCTATTGCACACCCACACCCACACCCTCAAGATGATCAAGAAAAGGCAACTAATTGAGACTCTGTTATGATCGTACTACTCGTGAGGGAAATGGAGAATTGTCTGTTGCTCTTTTACTTCTTTCATTGAAGTAAATTTCTGTATAGATGAATGGGTTATGACATATACTTGTATATATTCACTATAGAAGAAAAGTTCGGCATGTAAAAGAACAGATTGACGATAGTTTTCTAAGAAGAAATCATTTTCTTATAATATCTAAAAGAATAAAACTACAAATATGTTCATCTAATTTTCTAATCACTGGGAAACGAAGATTGATAGTTCTATGGTGATTATATACGAAGATTTTTTTTCGGCATGGCATTGGTGATAGTTATTGGAAGTATTAAATTAATATTGGTAAAAAAGCCCGGAAGATGCGCTTCAATCAGTACATAATAATTTACGGCCAGGTGCTTTTTAGCATAATTAGAGGTAAGTTGATATGTAAAGGCAGCTGGAGCCGTGTGGGGCACATCCATTCGAAAGATTCCATTAAAGCGTTTGCCTTTAAAATCTTGAGTATTTTGCAGAACTTGCTTTTGAAGAACGAAAAGATTATTTTCTTCGGAATTCAATTGCTGATTTTGAATGAGAGTTGCCGTTATTATTTTTAATGTCGATCGTTTATCATTGTAAAAATCGACTTCAAACGAAAAATAATTTCCAGCAGTGACAAAATTTTCTGGAAGAACCGCATGCATACGAATGCCCTTTCGATTTTTATCTTTTGCTTCAACTTTCTGTGCATTTACCGACGAAGATAAATGTTTAACAACAATAGGACATTTGCTTTCGAAATTCAAATTATACCATTCACGACGAACAAATGTAATGTGAATAAAGTAATGAATCGATGACATATATGGATCGTTATTATTGAGCGAAGGTGGTAAGTTAGTACCGAGTTGAAAACGAAACGGCCAACTGTTAGTACCATACGGTACACGAAAATTGCCCTGCGTACCAATTGGATGTACAAGCACTCGTTCAGTGTGGAATTTCACTCGTGAGATATTTCTCGGTAAACTATCGTTTATCTTCTTTCCAACTTGAACAAATTCACCGATCAATTCGGCATTAATACGCTCCAATTTCAAACGAGACTCATCATCATTGACAAAGTCAATAAAGCCCGAAACGATTCCACCGGTCCAAAATACATTATGGTTATTTTTAGGAAATCGACATGTCCTTGAGGATCCATCGCTAGTCGCGCTTAATAATACCAATGTAAGCAATAAATATTGAAAGATATTAATCCGGAACAAACAGATCCCATTGGAAAATAAACAAGGAAACCAATTTTGATTCTTCATTGATTCTCGGTACCGTACGCTTGAAGAAAAATTGAAAAATGATTGAATTTGATCTCTCGGTAGATCAAAACCTCGATATAGAAAAGGTCGACAATGTGAATATGATCTTATCTAACATTTTTATTTAAATACGCGTAAATAATACGAAATGAAGGTTAAAGAAAGAGCCAATTTTAATAACGTTGAGAATTGTGATCGGTCAGAAATATCACTTTTCAATGATAACAATCAAAATTAATATTACAGCAACTTTGCTGTTTAAACGAAAAAGTCAACATTGACATTTCATCGACCTTCAATGCGATCGTTCACTTGAAAGAGAATTGAAAAATGATAAGTTTGTTCTCCCGACAATGCTTGAGATGACAGAAATGTCAAATCGTTGCCAACTGATGTTTTTGATAGGAGAAAGTGAGAAGTATACGTAAATAAACGACTGAAATCAGATTAAATCGATTCTATTGATCCTTTCGCGGCGATTCGATTTTGATAGAGAATAAATTTCACATATTCATTTTCATATGTATTCGTTGATCTTTTCAATAATGTCTATTTGATGAATCAGGGTAAATATGACACAAGGCATATGACCATGCTACAGTTTTGTGAAAGTCTCGTACAATTTTCACTCCTTGGTATGCCGTTCGAGAAGTTGAAACCGGATCTGAGATAATAATCAATAAGTCAGTCGAAACGCAAACTCGCTGTTCACAAGCTCCACGAAAAGAAACGATCTGTACTGGCTGCTATGAGAAAACCAGAGAACAACAATCAATACAAGTAAGTCTGGCGATAGTAATGAAAATAAAAACCTTTTCTTCTGGTTGTGACAAATTTTTTCATCTCGATTGTTTTAACGAGAAACATCATGCTATCGAATAAAGAACTCAAAATTGGAAATACCGGAAATGATATTTCGACAAGCGAAGACAGAGCTTCTAAAATCAGTATTTCAAAGTTCGAAAAGAGGTTTTCTAAAGACCCAGCTTTTCTGTCTCACACGTAACTCTTCGAAAACGGTAAAACATTTGTTCTTCCAATATGGACATTCTCTGTCACCATCTCTTTCATTGACACAAATAAAAATAGTGTTAGCACAATCCTTACGAAATTAAAATGTCAAAACACGATGTACCTGTTGGGATTGTAAAAGAAGAGTGATGAAAAAGAGACATTGCCGCGATGTCTGTCGTGTCTTTGGGTGCAAAACCACCAATTTAAAAAGAGATGCTTTTAAGATACCACACTATCTTGAGGGTGTCAGTCGGTCACAGAGTGTGTGGTAAAGCTTAGATTTATATTCGAAAAGGTTTTTTGTTCAGACCAATCTCAAAAGATCAAAGTTTTCAAAACTGTTGCTAATAGCTGGAGGTCATTACTACTTACGAGTTTCAAAACGGACGCTCATAGATCGCTCATAAGAGAAAAGTAGCCGAAACACAAGGAAGAAGGGTATTCAGAGCCTGTGCTATTGCGCTATACCACTTAACATGACCGATGATGATTTTGAGTGTGTCAGTATGTAGGGTACCTATGTTAGTATATACCCACAAAAGTTCATGACTAAAACTATTACTGTTAAAAAATGGTAAGATAATCCACCTCACCATTCTTCCTTTCATCGATGTATCGGTTAGACGCATTCTTTTGTTGCTGTGCTCTTCTTGTTCTCTTTCTTATCCTTGTTGTGTTACAGCAAGGAGTAAATTTACATACATGAACATACAACAAACTTCCTCTTTCTTGTCAGTCCCAAATCCGATCGGAACTTCTGGTCTTAGTGCGTATGGAACTTCATATACTCTTCTGAAATCGGTCGATTACAATCAGATACACACTGAACAAGCGCAGTTCCAGTCTCAAAATAAGCATCCGGCTCAGACATATGTTCACTCTGGTCAACTAACATCTATGTTAGGTTTCGCTGACAATGGACAGTTTATTCCTATACAATTAAACGCAATGACTTCATCAATTAGTAATAGAGTCAGGTATCCTAATTCTGCCTGAAAGAAAAACACTTTTTTTAACCGACACATAACTCGAGTTCTATGCATCGTAGAGAAATAATTTTTGCTTCGCGGAATAGAGCAAACATTTCTCTATTGAATGGTATAAAAATTAATTAAAAAAGTTTAATTAATCACTTAGGAGAAGCGTGACAATAGGCGAAGGGTCATTTTTTATTGAATTTTGTCCTGTTCCTAATTCTGCCGTTTACATGTAAAACATATAGAGCTATTAGAAACAAACCTGTGGGTGCTACTCCAAATTAGATAAAACATCAACATATTTATATCATCTGAAAGATCTTTTCAGTAGCTACATGCTCGTATAACATGAGCACAAATAAACCCATTGACATCTGCTTTTTCTTCAAAAGACTTTTAGATCGCCACACTCTCATATCTCATCTTCCAAGATAATCCGATCTCAGAACGAAATAAATATCATATTCGGAATCAGCACAAAAAACTACATCGGTTCTGATATTTTTAGGCAAAAACTTTTTTTCCACCAAAAAATCAACCTGAAGGGGACTACAGGCAAACTTTCGAAAAATGGTGAGGGGGACCACAGGTCGATTTCTTGGCGAGAAAAATTTTTCAGCCTAAAAATATCAGAACCGATGTAGTTTTTTGTGCTGATTCCGAATATGGTATTGGTTTCGTTCTCAAATCGGTCTATCGCGAGGAGTAGTAGAAAAGAGGTGCTAGTCATTGTCTTAAATATCTTTTCAGGAAAAATCGACCATATTTAACCATATTTTTATTCACACTGCGCGAGCAGGTAGCTACTGAAAAGACCTTTCAGGTGATATAAATATGTTGATGGTTTATCTAATGAGGGAACCGCCCCAACTGGTCCACGCCGATTTTGCTCATATTCCGCTCATATGTAGGGGTCATAATGCTAAGAAAAATCCTAAGAGGGTTTGTGCCCATGGTGCTTCCTTCGAAGGTTATGACCGTCTTACTGAATTTTCGGTTTATGGTAAGGTATTTACAAAAAAATCGAATGACGAAATTTTGCCCA